CTCCTCCTCCTCCTCCTCCCAAATCTCCGGCGGCATGTTTTGGCACCCCCGCCGACATGTCCCTCCCCAGGATCTCGGCTACCTGTAAGAGTGACCCTGGGGCCCTAGGCAAGAATGACCTTTACTTCGCGGATTAAGGGAGCGCCAAGTGACCACATCCAAGCACGCAAGCAGCCATTATCGCATCGCGCTCAGCGATCGTGGGGACCCCAGTGAGCCCGCACCAAAGGTCACTCTGGCGAAAGGTTACTCAGGCGAAAGGTCACTCTTACGTGTAGTCGAGGATCGTCGAAAACGGATCCGGGACGAAAAGCTGCCCTGGGGGAGTGCTCGGGAGCCCTAGGGCCGCGGACTGAAAAAATCAGGTCGGCGGATGTCAGGGCTGGCGTGGTGGCCTCGGCCGAGACACCCCAAGGCCCAGGATGGCCCCTGCCAGGCGCGGTGGCTGTGGTGTAGAGGCCGGCTGCCTTCAGCGGGTCCTCGTGCTCCACCTCGACGCGAGGCTGCACCCCGGGGAGCGCGGGTCTGGGCGGCTCCGGCTCCACATGGCACGACGGGGGCCTTGACGGCATGGCTCTGGCGCAGGGCAGGAGGACGCCAACTAAGCTACGGCAGGCTGACGTCGTGACGACGTGCGCGTTGGTTCCTGACACCGCTTGGATCGCTGAACCTTCAACGATCGTGGCTCCCCGAGAGCGCAGATCGTTCGGTATCGGCCGATTCCGAACCACTGCCGACGTTCAGTCCCGAACGCCGCCGCCAGGGTCGCCGCCGCGCCGGCGCGGCACGTTGCCGTCTGCACCGGTGGACCGACACCTACCTGGCCAGCCCCAATGCCGGGCCCAGGATCGATGCGCACGCGCCGTCCTGGCACCGGCCACACGCAGGAGTGATCCTAGGCAAGAGTGGCCTTTGGCGCACAGCTCCAGAGGGCCGCGGAGCGCAAGGCAGCGGTTGGTGGGGAAACCTAGACGTATTGATGCCGCTACTCCAGGGTGCGTTCTGACCAACATTGTGAAGCGAATCCAGCGGTGGCGACGAGGGCCGCCCAGGAAGCCCCAAACGGGGAAAACGAGGCCAGGGTAGAGGTGTGGGTACATTTTCATCCTCCGAGTTGGGGCACCCCTGTGGGCCAGCGCCAAAGGTCACTCTGGCGAAGGCTCACTCGCGCAGCCGTCCTGGCAGGGGGGGACATGGCACCTGCCCTGGTGGGTCCCAGGAGATAGGAGGCGGAGGGGGAGGGGGAGGGGGAGGAGGACAAGCTAGGTGCGCTCGCGTCATATCTGACATCCTACCCCTCCCTCCCATCCCTTACCATGGCGTAGATCCCCTCTCTACTCGCAGAGTCGGATGTCGAGCAGGGCAATGATCCCGAAAGGGTACGCGATGCATTGTAGAGCACGGCATGGCATGGCGTAGAAGAGCAGCGCAAAGCGCAGTATGGCACAGCATGGCGTGGCGTGGCGTAGTGAAGAATTGCATCACAAAGCTTTGCAACGCAAAGCATGGCATCGCACAGCGGCCCCGAACATAACATTGCATAGCATGGCGTTGAAGATCAAAGCGTAGCATGGCATAGCACGACGTGGCACTTAAGCACTGCATATCACAGCTTCAGCTGAAGGCATGGCATCGCGCAGCGGAACGCAACCTAGCATTGCATTGCATGCCGTGGCATGGCACGGGAAATGACGCCAGCGCTGCAGCGGGAGCACGATTCGGAACGAGCGGAAGCGCGGAAATGAGGCCAGCGCTGCAGCGGGAGCACGATTCGGAACGAGCGGAAGCACGGAAATGAGGCCAGCGCTGCAGCGGGAGCACGATTCGGAACGAGCGGGGCCCGAAAATGAGGCCGGCGCCTCAGCGAGAGCAGCATTTTGAAAACAAATGCAGGCGAAAACCCAACTTCGGGGAATCCTGTGTGTAAAAACAGTACGCGGGGGGGGGCGAACATTCCCAACCCGTCATCAGGGGAAGAGAGGAGAGTAGTATTCATATTGAGTAATTGTGGAGGAGAGGAGGAGGAGGAGGAGGAGGGAGGAGGAGGAAGGAGGAGGAGGAGGAGGACAGAGGAGGAGGAGGAGGAGGGAGGAGGGAGGAGGAGGAGGAGGAGGAGGAGGAGGAGGATGAGGACTGAGGAGGAGGAGGAGGAGGAGGCGGAGGAGGAGCAGGAGGACAGAGGAGGAGGAGGAGGAGAAGGAGGAGGACTGAAGAGGAGGAGGAGGAGGAGGCGGAGGAGGAGTGGAGGAGGACCACGTCCAGCCTAGGATCGGTGTCGGTGCCCAGGCTGCCCCACCTCGTGCGGCGCTCAGCACGAGGGCCCTGTGAGCACCCGGCCCCATCCCCAGACAAATGCTTCGCCGCAGATCGGATCCGTGTGTTGGTCCGGGGGGCACGGCGAGGGCCCACAGAGGCTGCAACGGCGAAAGCCCCCCGTCCCGATCTCTTCGAGACGCCCAGGAGGTCCGAGCTCTCCCACAGCAGACTCGACCCCAGAGCTCTCTCAGAGCCCGCTCTGGCCAGAAGTTCGGAGTGGCGCAGGCCGTGGCAAGGCCGAGCCTCAAGGAGACCCAACGAGAGCGAAAAACGTCCCAAACCTCAGTGCTCGAACCTCTACCCTCAGTTTCACAGAAGTGAAGCATACCCACATCCGCATCATCGAATACCACACTTCTGTCGGTCCAGACTGGGCGTGGACATGGCTGCGCCACAGCCGACTGCATCGAAGACGCCTCAGCCACGTCCTCGCGTACACGTCGTTCCTTTCTAATCGTGCTCATTTCTAATTATGCTCGTTTCTAAGTGTTCCTGGCCCCCTAGTGGCCAGGAAGAGGCTCAGCGTAGAACAATTAGAAATGAAGGGATCTTGGCCCCCAAAAAAACAACAGACTTTTCCAATAATTAGAAATGAAAGAAGTGTACCCGTACCTTCGCGGGCTGGGGCCCCCGATCGCGACGGCATGGCTATTGAGATACGTCTCGTCTTCACCCGGCGACGAGCCAAGGGAGGGCCTCCTCAGGAGGCTCCGTAAGCCTCGGGCCTGCTGAGAAGCTCTGCCGCCAGAGGGCTCCTCGGAGGGCCAGAGGGCCGCTACGAGAAGCCCCGCCGCCCCCCGAGAGAGGCCTGCCCTCCCAATTCCCCCCCTCGGCACGCCGCCCACTCGCGACAACGAGGCGCAAGAGAAGTACCTGCAGCCATTTTTATTCTTGCGGGAGAGGACCTCAGCTCGGCGGTGGACAAACCTCCCTTTAGTAAACCTCCCTTTCGTGAAAACGGCCTGGGACCGAAACCAACGGACCTGGACCCGCAGAAGTGACGGCCGCGACGCCCTCGCGCGAACCGAACACTGTCAACCAATTCCTCAATCGACGTGTCAGTGTAGGAGGTCTATCAGCCTCCGATCCGTTAGGAGGGCCAGAAATCTTATTGTAGGACCAGAAATCTCATTTTCTGGGCTTTCGTCTTCCCCCCCACATCCCATATGTTCCCATATCCCGGGAGTCGACGATGAATTGAGTCTGTGTGCTTCTTTCCCTCCGGTCAGTTAGGAGGGCCAAAAAATCTCAGGCACGGGCCTCCCCGGGAGGCTCCACAGGCCTCCGGCCTGCCGAGCAGCCCTGCCACGGAGAGGGGCGCCGTCGCAGGCCCCTCGGAGGGCCTCCGAGGAGCCTCCCCGCGCCGCCCTCTGAGCCAAGGCACGCCCTCTCGCCGGCCCCCCCCCCCCCTCGGCGCGCCGCCAGCTCACGACGAGGATGAGCAACAGAAGTGCACGCGAGCCTGTTACGGTGAGGGCAATGGAAGCGGAGGAGGAGGAGGAGGAGGAGCAGGAGGAGGAGGAGGGGGAGGAGGAGGAGGAGGAGGAGGAGGAGGAGGAGGAGGAGAAGGAGGTCCTGCCCTCTCGTCCCTCTCCTCCTCCTCCCCCCTCCTCCCTCCTCCTCCTCCCTCCCCCTCCTCCCTCCTCCCCCTCCTCCTCCTCCTCCTCTTCTCCTCCTCCTCCTCTCCTCTCCTCCTCCTCCTCCTCCCCTCCTCCCTCCCTCCTCCTCCTCCTCCTCCTCCTCCTCCTCCTCCTCCTCCTGCCAGTACGGAGAAGGAACCGATGGATAAGGAAGCCAGGGTCTCGAAGCCAGCGGAACTTCGGTCGTGGATCGGCAATGGATATCGCTGCCGCCCTTATCGGATAAGGAACCCCCCAGGGCCCGAGACCCCCTGTGCGCAATCCTTACCGAACGCCACCACCGTATCTCAGGCCCCCTCCCGAAGCCATGAAGAAAGTCACGGCGGGAGGTTTGTCGCTGCTTTCGGCCCCTGGGGGCCCTCACTGGACCTCGGGGCCGTCGAAAAACGACCCAGGATGAAAAGCCTGCCCCGGGGAATGGGTCCGGACTTCTGGGGGTCGCGTCATGAAGCATGACGCCGGGGTCTGGGATCGGAGGGAACCCAAGTTAGGACGGCCAAAAGCATGTGCTTTTCAATACATCTATACATAGAGAAAGGAG